TTTGTTGTCATTTTGAGGGTTTGACACATTCTTTTGGCTGTTCCTGTGCATTATGTGTGTCTCTGCTCTGCAAGTAGTACAGGGTCCTAGAATCATCTCCCTCACTGAAGATCACAGGAAGGACTCCGAATTGTTACTGTCGCTAAAACTGCTGAAGCCATACACGTGGGTGCGGAAATCCAGAGTCTTCTTTCACCTTTCTCTTCACGCCACCCTGCCTAGTACTCATTACAGACCATAAACATGCGGTGTTTTGTGCTCTGGCCACCTGAGGGTCTCTGAACCAATTCCTTGTTGTCATCCCCTCAGTAGGGAATGTCAGTTTGTTATTTTCAGTGCCTTGCTTTTTGCTTCATTTCCTAGTTGCTGCTCCCTCAGCTTCTCCTCTGAGGAGAAACTCCTGCTTCTTTGACAGTTCTGGGTAAGGCTTATCTCAGCCTCCACTATCACCCCAGAGCTAATATAAGCCTTTGAACTGGGGATGAATTTTATCTTCTCTACTCCGTGCTATCTCCTGATTTGCTTTTTGCTCAGAGGAAAGCAAGAATTAGCTGCAGGGCTTGGGTTCCTGCTTCACAAGAGGAAATGCAGTATCGGGGCTCAGGTATATGCAGTCTGGTTCTCCTGAATAGGAGGAAGTCCCAACGGGCCTATTCCATTGGGCCCAAACCCCGGGGATCATAAGGAAGTGAAGACAAATGGCGCTCCTGGCTCTCCACAGGGTAAACTGACTACTGCGCAGTCAGTGTCTCTGAAGAGAAGTCAGTCACTGGGGTTATCGTGAGAGAATGTTGCTTGGAGATGCAGAAATTAATATTTATGAGAACTGGATCCAGTGATAAGCATTGCTCCTTAGTTGTAAACATTCTTGTCTAAGCACAAACAGTTTTGGACTCCTGTTTGCCATGGAATCCAATCTAACAGATGAGATCCTAACTGGCCTGTTGACATGTTCAGGCCGAGCAATGGTGCCAGATATGCTACAAGCGGAAATAAGGAATCTCGTTGATCACTGCCCAGATAGGGGAGTGTAGAATTTGGCAGCCAGTGCAAAGTGAGGCAGATAGGCTAGTTGGGCAGATGATCCTGTCGTGGGTACGAGGAAGCTGCTTTGGTCTCTGAGCGCCCAAACTGACAAACAGCAGCAGGAAAATGCATAAGTATGTGGCTCTGTGTGTCTTTAGGAGCATGATCTCTACTGAAGGTGCTTCTCTGCCACCATCGTAAACATCAGAAGGTGAATTTTTCAAACACCAAAAACTTGTTGGTTCTACTATAATTGTTTTGCTGTGTTCCCTTATGTTCCCAGTGGCCCCACTGTGATTTCAGAACTGCTTTATGCAACAATATAGACATTCAAATGTTTGTTTAGTGATAAATGGCCTCTTTCCCATAATGTTCCACTGACTTTCTGCCAGAACCACCTCCAGGCTCTCCTCTTCTGGTTCATTCTCCACTTTGCCACAGCATGATTAACCCTGAAAGCTTAGTTCTCAAACCATCAGTGGCCTGCCTTATGGCACAAGAACCATAGACCGCTGGGCCTGGCTCATGAATACCTTACAGGGGGCCTACCTTTCAGCCCAAGGGACACACAGCTCACCCTTGCCCACCTGTTTCTGTACGTTTGCTCAAACCGTTTTTGCCTGCACTGTCCACTCCGTTTATCTCAAACGGTCGCAGTCCTGTCTCTTCTTTGGTGGCAGTGTAAGTGCAAACTCTTACATGTGAAGCTCTGCCAGATCTCCCCTCCTCACTGCCCAAGCTGAAAGGGAGGAATCTTCCTCTTCCTGACTCTCAACGTTTTATATCTCAGCTACGTCTGAACTGGCTTCTGGGTGTATGTATCTGCCCCGTCGTATCTAAGCTTATTCTAGTGTAGAGACCGTGTCACATATCTTTGCTTCCCCACCACTCAGCCAGCTGCCACACATATGTACTTAGTCCATGTCGGTTGAATTAAGTCAGGTAACCTCAGGTCTTCTCTAACGCAGAGACTGTGTAATCGTGTGTCTTTATTAGGGGCTGCTGCCTGCCAGGCGCTTTATGTACATTGTCTCATTTAGCAAGCAGAACTCCTCATGTTCTGTTCTACTGTCCTAGAGACAATAGTTAGTGAAACTGTTGTGGACTGTTACAAAGGCAGAGATATGAGAGTGGAAGGAAAACCATGATACCATGTGTGTTAGGTTGGGTCCTCAGAGAAGCAGAAGCCAAGACTGGGTTAGAAGTACAAGAAATTTATTGGGGAGGCCAGCCCTGTGGTTAAGTTTGCACGCCCGGTTGCGGCGGCCCAGGGTTTCGCCTGTTCGAGTCCTGAGCGCGGACATGGCACCGCTCATCAAGCCATGCTGAGGCAGCGTCCCACATGCTACAACTAGAAGGACCCACAACTAAGAACATACAACTATGTACTGGGGGGCTTTGGGAAGAAAAAGGAAAGAAAATAAAAGCTAAAAAAAAAAAAAAAGGAAATTTATTGGCAGAAACACCTGCAAAGGAAAATGGGGCCGAGAGGCAGGACCTGGAAGTGAGTGGGAGAGGCATCAGGTCCCTGTGGAGGAGAGAGAGAAGTTAGGTAGGAAAAGTCTTACACTGCAGTGAGTGCCAAGAAAGCTTCAATAAAGCCAGTGGGGAGCCAGAGTTGCCTGTCAGAGGAGTCCCTGGCCTGTCCCTGCCGTGCTCACTCATTGACAGGGAGCAGCCATGGGACATGTGCCCTCAGCACGGAGTGCAGCAGCTGTGCTCCCTGCATCTGGAGAAGCACATTGTCATGACGGCCACCCCATGGAATCACCCAAGCTAAAAGTTGCGGGCTCCTTGTGGTGGGCAGGTCCTTCAGCCGGGCAAGCAAAGTGAGGGCCTACGGAAGGCCCTAATGCTCCCTCTCCGTCTGCAGTCTGAATACTTGTCCCCTTGCTTTGCTGCCATCTCTAGAACACAGTGGCATGGCATCGTCCTGTCACTGCACACCGTCCCTCAGCACTGCAGAGTATAGTCTCTCCTGAGATGCCTTCCTCACACCCCTGCAGGCCCGAGGGCTCCTCTTCCAGGCACACCTCAGTCTTATGTCTAATGCCCCACTAGACTGTGAGCATCTCAAAAGCCAAGACTAGCTTTTACCCTTTAGACCCCAGCGCCTCCCATAGTAGATATCAAATGAAGTGTACAGTTTGCACTTTAAAAGATTTTATTTTTCCTTTTTCTCCCAAAGGCCCCCGGTACATAGTTGTGTATTTTTAGTTGTGGCTCCCTCTAGCTGTGGCATGTGGGATGCTGCCTCAGCATGGCTTGAGGAGCGGTGCCATGTCCCCACCCAGAATTCGAACTGGCGAGACCCTGGCTGCCAAAGCGGAGCACACGAACTTAACCACTTGGCTACAGGACCGGCCCCCAGTTTGCACTTTAAAGTGTTGTTCTGACAATGGAGATGATTGCAGTAGTCCCTCACCCAGGGTGGAGCTGCCCCTCCTGGGGAGTGTGATGTGAGCGACTCCTGAGATTCATTCTCATTTCGCTCAGTCTGTGTCAGAAGAGCCAAGGGTTGTGCCAGCAGTGACATTTTATTGGGTTTCTTGAAATGTGTGTTTCCTCCCTGTCCTCTTACATCAACTTCAAGGCAGACTGCCAGAGTTCTGGGTACTCACGCTCTCCTGAGGCTGCCCTGTCTTTTCTCTGCTTCTGGTGGCCCCCTACCCATGCGTCCATCTGTTGAGGCTGTGCTCGGGGCCTCTGTGTCTGCCACCTGTGTGCAGGGTGAGTCTGGGCCCATGATTCTTCTTAAACAGCAGCACTGCTCCAGGTTTAAGTGGAGGAAGCCTGTCTGGAAATGGTCAGCCTGGTTTCTGGGAGCTTTCTCGGAATATGGTGGGCTTCTGGGGCTAAATCTCAGACTGAGACTGAAAGTTCTTTCCGTGAGTTATTAGGAAAGGCCTTGACATTGAAAGGCCATGCATCTTTAAGTTCTTTACCTGGGCTTTACTTCTAGGTGGGAGGCCTCAGGGGGACAAAGCTGCTAACAAGTGGTAAAGTGGGAAGAAACCTGTACCTCTGATGACTAGGACTTTCTTTCTCTTTTAACTCCATTCTCGTCTCCATTGGAAGCAGACCTACAAGAAAAATTGGAACAGTTTAGAAAGGGTTGAAACTGTTTGTTCCCCCAGCCTAGCCACAATTTTCTAAAATACTCTTTGTTTCAAATATTCCATCGCATTGCCCCATAAATCCCTATAAATCTCTCAAATGTCCTGGAAACTCCAAGTTTTGACATACAGACTCCATGGCCCTCTTGTATGTAAAGTCAGCATAAAAGTCCTTGGTTATACCGTGTGTCTCAGTTTGGGCTTTAGGACATGAACTTACCTGGTGATTAATAAGTAGCTTGGAACTTGGGGAGAAAAGACTGACGATTAAGGTTGATGGTGCTATACAGATGAACAAGATCTCCCACTTCCAGAGAAATGATGGGTTTGGTGTGAAAGCTAAGGCTTTGCTTAGAAAAGCAGGTGGCTCTTGAGTTTGAATCCAGGTTCAGTAGAAATTTGCCGAGTGGAATTAGATTCAGCAAGTGGCTGCTGCAGTTTCATAGAGAACAGACTTGGAGGGACCTCTGCCCTCCCCACCAGGTAGCCGGGGCTCAGCAGGACACCTCCAGCTCCCCGGGAGCTGCGGTTGATTGGCCATCACCCATGTCAGAGCCTGTGTCCTTTAGGGGTTCTGGCCAGTTTGGACAGGAAGTGTTGCTGACCCAGAGGGAGCCAGCAGGGCTCCGTCACGCACGTCTGCACAGGCACAGGCGTGGGGGTGGATGGCACCGAGGGACTGCACTGCGGGGGGCGCCGTAGGGCTGAAGGTTTCATCATTTTAAAAGCAGGAATTTCTTTAACTACAGAGAGATACTCTTTATATTTTGTAATCAGATAGTAAGGCAAGATCAGTTGGGGTCTTCCTGCTTCTGTTCATTTCCCTTATTTATTTGAGTTTCTGCTTTCACATTGCAGGTAAACTAAAAGATCTTGGGAACTTGGTTCTCCGACCTTTTGGACTCTCCACAGAAAATTTCCAGATCAAACAGGATTCCTCTACTGGCTCCTACTCCATCAATTTTGTTCAAAATCCAAATAATAACAGATAACAAAGATAACAGTAGCTTTTTGAGCTAGTTTGGCAATTGTGTGCTGCTTGCTGTTAGCAAGGGGAAAGGCCCTGCCAATGTTTAACTTTTAAAAGCATCTTATCTCACAGACAGGCTATCCAGTAGAGCCCAGTGCTCCCTTTTCCCTCTTGTTTTATGACCAGGGAGAAATGCACTTCCTGATGTAATGAGCCTAAGTTGATTTCCATTTTAAGGTGGTGTCTGTGCAGCTGTCACCCCTGGTTCTGGCTGTCCTTTGCTTTGTCCAGGAGGGAGCCTGCTTGTCAAGGCTGACTGCCCTGAGCCATACAAACGCACCAGGCCAGCCAGAGTCTCTCCTACACCGAGCAAACCTGCCAGTTGGAGACTACCCAGACAGGATTAATGGGGTTCCGCCTGCTGCCCCTCTCCCTGATCACATTCACTGCCCGGGCTGCCATGTGTGGGCTACAGCATCTCCCGATTTCCTCTGTGGTAATAAACGCTTTCTGTGATGGTCTGAGCTGGCTTGTGAATTTTGTCCCCATACAAACAGCTAAAGCAGAAGACTTTGTGGCTTTGGGAGCAGTGTTGGTTTCAAGCAGTGTTACTGGATTCCACAAATCTGCCCAAGGTCTTAGTTGCCACCTTGAAGATGATCTTGAAGAGTCGACCATTCAACCATGTACCAGAATTCAGAAACTCCACCTCACTGGCTGTCTTGGCCTCTCCGGGTTTGTGCAGATAATTGTGAAATCAGTGTTTGTGACCAAGCATCAATCTGAATAATTTCAATTTAAAATAGCTTCATTCAGGAATGGTGGTATATGTCTCCCAGAACAAAACCATGTTCTTTTAGAGCACATGAACCCAGAAATTTCAAAGGTAGATTTTAATTCTGTTCATCAGTTGATGCTAGTGAAAAGCTTTCACACTGTTCTGGTTTGAGTGACAAAGGCAGTGACCTGGAAATTTCATCTTAGAAATGAAGTACACATATAATTCTCTAAGTGACATGCAGTAGTCGTCCCCCCAGTGTTCAGAATTGTGCTGGTTCTTTGATCTGTTACTCAGAGCCGCTTGTGTGTTGGCAGATAGCAGAATGATGTGCAGCACTAACTCTGATTGGCTAGTAAGCCTCTCTCCCAGATTGAAGCGAAATTCTTCATGGGCTCTACAAGGGGAATGGGAAAGAAAGAAAGAGTGTGGTTAATTTCATCTAGCTATCTTTATGATAAATCTGCATCTAATTTTCCCAAAAAGGTGTGTGTGAACAATCACACAAGTTGTTGAGAAGCCGTGGCTGAAAGTTGTGTGGTCCAGCTGTTGGTGGGAGCGCATCCTGTGCAGCAGTGTTATGCTAGAGCAGCGGTTCTCAGACCTTTGATCTCAGGACCCCATCACACTCAAAGTTAAAGAGCGTATTGGTTCACGTGGATTATATCTATTGATATTTACCATAGTAGAAATTCAAATTGAGAGAATTCTTAGTTAATTCCTTTAAAAATGACATATACATTTCATGTTAATATAAATAGTATTTTTAGAAAAATATTGTCCAAAACAAAAACATTTTAGTAAGAAGAGTGACATCATTTTACGTTTTTGCTGATCTCTTTAATGTGTGGGTTGATAGAAGACAGCAAGATTCTCATATCTGCTTCTGTACTCAGTTTGTCACAATATCACATCATGTAGTCTGGAAAATTCTGCGTACTCGTGACAGAATGACGGTGAAAAAAGCAAACAACCCCTTAGCATTACTATGAGAATAGTTCTTACTTACCCTGTGGACTCCTGAAAGGGTTTCAGGAACCTCTGGAGAGCCTCAGACTACATTTTGAGAATCACTTTCTCACATATGACTTTGAGCTCAATGGCTGAGACTAGGCAAAGGTCAGGTCTGAGATTCCTGAAGGACTCTCTGAGCCTCCGAGGAATAGGAAATAGCTGTGTTTGCCTAGAACCAGCCTTCCTTAGACACCAGCATTGCTGCAGGGGATACTGGTTTTGCATCTTAGGCCCCAACCGTCCTCTGCCACCACAGTGAAATCTTACAGGATGCCAAACAAGGCCAACGGTAAAGGCTTCTAGTGAGTGGGCCAAGTGATGCATCTGGAAAAGAAAGGAAGGGAATCTAACGAGGTGTGAGATAGCTTAGACCAAGGAATTTTCATCTACCACATTATTTCTCTGCTTCCAAAACCTGGAAGAAAAGATAGATTCAAACCTTTTAAAAATGTTCAACAACAGAAAAATCCTGAAAAGGTTGAAAAGTAGACAGGTCTAAGGGAGGAAAGTGGCCTATATCTGCCTATTGTGTCTAAGATGTAGGAAGCCCTGTGATGCCTTCCTCCCCCCACCAAAAGAAGTCTACCAGAACTTAGTTTGATGGCAATCACGCGGTGACACTGTATATATTCGTATTCCAATGAAATTGCAATGGATCGAAATAATTTTGGATCTCCTTCTAGAATTTCCTGGAAGACTCTAAGACAATTTTTTAATAAAATACTATGATCTACTATTCCCTGTCTGCTTCCAGGAGCAGACTACGAGCTCCTAGAAGGTAAGGGCCATGTTCATGGCAGCAGCACCGGCTACAGTCCTACTGGAACTTGGTAAATGGTCAGTAAAGGACCTTCCATAAGAAGTGGTCTCAATGTGAACAACCATCACTATCCAGATCTTCAGATTCTGTGCCCTTTATTTGGTACCTGTTTTTTTTAAGATAGCTCCTTTGCTATAAGCCATTATCTGTTATCTCAAGATAAGTAGAAACTAGCCGTCTTCCTCAAAATTTTAAAACCTAGCAAGTGATTCAAATGTCAGTTTAGAAGGTTTCCATGCTGTTTTTCACTGTGCAGAGAATGCATTGGGAGGCTGTGAAAGACAACAGCTTGGTTTCACCTGCTCAAGGCCAGTGGATCTGGGACTGCCCTGTGGATTGCCCAGAAGGGCCTCGACACCTGCAGTTGCTGGTCCCAGTTAACTTGGCGCAGTTGTATTTTTATTCGGATAGGTGTGCAGTTCCGGCCAAGTTGGAGGGCTCAGCTAGGACTTGTCAACAGTGAATGCAGTAATTGTACCCATGAAGCTTAAGAAGACATTTTGTAAAGGAGTCACTTGCAGCCAGTCGAGCCCGTCTTGTGCAGCCGTGTGGAATGTCCTCAGATGTTGAGCATTCAACCTGGCCTGTAAGCATATGTCTCCTGGTTGTTAACTTTTCATTTTTGCATCTTGGATATTTGCAAGGATTTGTCTTGAGACTTTTCAAAAATCCCCAATTTCTCCTCTAATGTGGGCCTCCCCACCTTCTCCCACATCACATTTCCATCGACTCTTGTGTTCTCTGTGTACGTTTCCACACTGTCTTAACCACATGTCCGACTTCCACATGAGTAGCTTTTCCCTTCCCTGGGGCCTCTGCAGAAGGCTTACCCAAGGAAATTGGGACTGTTACTACAGCAAATTCATACTGGGATGGTGGTTTTCCTGTGCAGAGTGCACCGTGGATTAGCTCATTTTCCTCACACCATGGATCCAAGCTATCTGCTTCTCAGAATCTAACCTCTTTTTCTAAGAACTCTGACTTTTCACGTTTCCCTTCCATCACAAGCACTGTAGCTGTTTGGGTTTTTTCCTATCATTTTGCTCCTTGTCCCACCCCCACAGATGCCATATTTTATCAGTTTACAAGTTATTGTGCTTATAGGAATAGAGACTATTACACCATGCCGGGATGTGGAGGCCGGGGAGTGGCTGAGCCTACTAGCTAATGACCTGCACGTCGCAGCCCGGGGCCTACATTTGAGCTTCAGTAAAGTGGCAAGACCTCACACACTGGACCTTCAGAGTTGCTCAGGTATAGTCAAAGGCATGAATGTTTGTTTAGTCCATAAATGGCAAGAGCCATAGTTCCTATGCGCTGTGTAGTTGAACATGGGGGACTGCTTTAGGAAATGCGGCTGGGCCTGGTGATTATTTCTGGGGCTCCTCGGGTCTCTGAGCTGGCCTCCAAGGCTGTTGCTGAATTACAACATCTCACACCGCTCTCGAGCTAGAATCCAGACTGATTTAGGAAACCCAGACACAGGGACTTCCTGGCGGCATTTTACTCTCTGAATAGACTGTTGAATTGGGGAGCTGGCAGCAGGTGTTAAATGTAAACCTGGTCGGAAGATGTATTGGCAAGGGTTGTTTGTCTGATCCTAAGAGCTAAGCAGACTTGCAAATCTTGTGTTTTACAACGGGTTTAGCAGAACTTGGAATGTCAAAGGGGGAGGCTATGATGGGAGACCAAGGAGGCTGAGAACCGCTGTGCCAGTTAACGGCTGCTTTAATCTCCTCGAGAAAGATCTTTAAAGGGAAAGGTCCAATAACTTTCCAAGACCAGAGTGCAAATCTGAGACACCACACAGGACAGGGAAAATTAGTGTGACTTAAGTCCCTGTCCCTTTTCCTGCGTTATCTGTGCTTTCCCTGAAGCGTGCCATTGGCATAAAAGGAAAGCCTGGAGCCGCTGGAGCTGTGTCTAGTGTCCCAGTGTCGCTGCCCGCCCGGCTGTCGGCTGTCGTTTGTTTGCATTGCTTTCTGTGATCACGCCCCTTTTTCATCCTGCCTTTCACCTCTCCACCTCATGCCTCCCTATTTCTTAAGGCATTGAACTCTTCCTCTAATACTCCTGTCAGCAGAAGTGTACCCGAAAGGCCCTAGGAAATCTCCTTGAAGTAGTTTCAGTGAGATGTTTATGATCCTCTTCAGTCCGCCCTGCTGCACTTCCGTACTAACAAGCTTGGTCCTTCCATCACCTGGACTTCTTTTAAAAAGGAAGCCTGTGAACATTCCACCAGAAGTGCCTGAAAAATCTGTTCCTTTGGGGAAACGCACAATTAAAAGCCGCACAGAGAGAGGAGGTGACCGTTTCCAGTCACCTCCTTGTGTTGTGCGGAGAGCTGCCCTGAGCCCGCACTGCACCGAGTCCGTTAACGCTCCTGCAAATGAAATGGATTACTTGCCACCAGCCAGCCCAAGAGGCAGGGCTGAAATAACTGTAGAGTATCAGAACGACTGCTTAAACCCTGCAAGGGGCAAAGAAACCAATGATAAAATTGCTTATAAAAACTAGTGAGGATGCCCTCATATTTCAGGCATCAAAACTTTCCATCTCCCTGGCCACAGGCTGGTAACTGTTGAAGCTAGGGATGGGTGTATGGGGTGGGTTGGTTGTACCAGTCTACCATCACAAAGGTCGGAAATATTCTTACTCAGTTTGCTGCTAACTTTCCAACCCTCTGAGGTCTGCACGCTAGGAATTAGCTCCATCATACAGGAGTTAAGTTCTATCAGCCAGAGCTAGAAATCTGACCCCCCCCCCCTCCTTTTTCCTTTCACTCAAGGGGAAACTCGGGAGGCTCACATTTCCCCCGTAGCTAAAGCATGGCATGGGATTCAGTCCCAGCTGCTAGTTCTGGCTTGGTGGGAAGTGTAGCCTACCCAGAGGGGAGTTCCCACCAGGCCCTG